TGTATGCAATATAGAATAGGTATGTATAATCAGAGTCAGTTAAAATATTTAATTGGATTGCCATTTGAAAATATTTGTACTATTTAATAACTTAGATTATCTCTCTGAGACTCTATAAAATGTTTACTTTTGTAGTTTTTACTTTTGGGTATCTGCATACGGCATGTTTCACTTTCCTTTTTCACCACACATATGAGGACAGGCTGAGAGAGTTGGGGTTGTTCAGCCTGGAGAAGAGAAGGCTCCGGGGAGACCTTAGAGCAGCCTTCCAGTACCTAAAGGGGCTACAAGAAAGCTGGGGAGGGACTTTTTACAGGGGCATGGAGTGACAGGACAAGGGGCAATGGCTTTAAACTGGAAGAGGGAAGATTTAGACTAGATATTAGGAAGAAATTCTTCGCAGTGAGCGTGGTGAGATATTGGCACAGGTTGCCCAGAGAAGCTGTGGCTGCCCCATCCCTGGAAGTGTTCAAGGCCAGGTTGGATGGGGCTTTGAGCAACCTGGTCTGGTGGAAGGTGTCCCTGCCCATGGCAGGGGGGTTGGAACCAGGTGGTCTTTAAGGTCCCTTCCAACCAAACCATTCTGTGATTCTATGTCTCATCACGTGAGCAATCTGATAATGTCATGTCTTTCCACTGTGCTTGTGAAGGTCACAGGCCTCCTCCATGCCTTTGAAGAGGGTGCTTACTGGCACCAGTCAGCAGGATTGAAACTGAAAACTAAGCAGATATAGGGAGACGCTAAGTGAGAAGGGAAATGAATTTGCATAGGGTAGAGGGAAAATAATAGGGCTGAAATGTTTTGATGTTGTTGCTCTTGTACTTAGCCCCAGACCTACTTTGAAATAACAGGAAGGATGCAAAATAACTTTTCATGCTTAAAAGAGAAAATGGAAGCAAGAATTACAGAAAGTGTTGAGAAAGCAATGATCTACCAGAAAAATTAATTTTATAAAAGGAGTCATTTAAAAAGTCATCCTTTACTGTGCCTATAAATACATCCACAGTCTGCACTGATCCTGTAATGAATGTAAACAGTTTTAGACATTGCAAAACTCCGACCCAGCTGTTCCACTGTGACCAGCCTTCAGTAAAATGTCTTTCATGGTTCAACTGGATGGCTTCGGTGTTTAGTGGAGGCAGATTTCAAATAAGATCGAAAATACAGTTTTTGAAAGATTTGTGCTTATGCTCAGTGTAAAATATGTATGTGTGCTGTGCTGTTGAGTACAGGCATGATCTGTTAGTTCTTAGGTAAATGCATGAGGTTTTGCAGAACTAGAACCTTTGATAGAGAAAGGAAGAGCTAGAACCAACAGAACGGGATTTCTTTTCTCTTAGAACTGTGTTGATCGATTTTGTTGTCAGATTAAGTATATTTTTGTCACTACAACTTTTCATTTTATTACTATCCCTTATCTATTTAGAGTCTATCTTTGCTATGATTTATGTCAAGGTTCTCTTCTGAATAGTGCAGCTGGTTCACAGTAGCAGAGAACCTGGAGGACATAGGGTCAAGACCCTGTTGTGCTAGGTGCTGCTTAAAGATCTTGAATAAACATAACCCTGTCCCGGAGACCTCACACTTCTTTTTTTCCTTTAAAGAGGCTGAACCCCTTTTAGGAAAAGGGGAAATAGTGTCACCATGCAACTCTTCTCTGTTATAGCAGCTGGGCTAGTCATTTAATACCTTGATTTATAACAGTGTTGTAATATAAATAGGAAGCAGGTGGAGTTACAACTGGGTACGATACTTTGGATATTAATGGCTTGGCTTGGCAGTGGAATTCTAAAGCTGTATATACTTTTTCTGTCTTAATTATGCATTCATTAAAAGCTTTTATACCCAACAGAATAAAGTAAATATTGTTTGATCTCTGTAGTGTGCTCCCAGACTGTAGATTTGCACAGCAGGGTCTTGATAATCTGAATAAATTGTATTTCCCCAAGGAGTTTATCTTTCAAATAAGGTCATAAAGAAATGCATTCTTTCCCCTTAGTTCTCCTTGTGCTTTTTCTGCTATTTATAACACAGAGCAGAGGAATAGAGGTATATTGTAGTCTGCTGTGTACTTGGTTATGATTAACTCTAATTTATCAATCTGTTACATCCTTTTCAGTGCCTTGTGCAAGGCAATTATTCTTTAAAGTAAAAACGAATAAAGATGGATTTGGAAGTAATTTAAATACAATGTTTATATCTATTTTTCCTGTTTGACACTTTATCATATCTCTGTATTAAAATACACCTCTGTATTAAAATATGGACAATGTCACATCATTTATTTTGAATTTTTAATATTGTCATCTTTCAGATTATGTTTGTTCAGAAAACTGGTTTTCTTTTATGAGGGTTTTAAATGTCAGCTCATTGTTAAATTGGTTTGGGATCTAAAGGTTGATACTACTGAATCAGAAGACCAGTAGTGTAGGACAATGGATTCTCCTACTTCAGCGAGACGGGAAAGCGAGGGGATGTATAGTAAGTAGCATGCATAGAATCAAAGATAGTTTCTCATTTTAGAAGTAGACACCGATAGATAATTTGGTCAATTTATTAAATTGGTTGAGATTTTAGAACTATTTCAACTGTTAGCTGTAGGATCTGTATACATAATCTTTTACATATTTTCTTAGTCTGAATGTGTTTCAGCAGTGTAACATACATCATATTAGAAGAGATAGGATCACTACCTTTCCCTAATTCTCTTCAGCTCTTAGTGACAGTTCTGCTTGTGTTCATATTTCATCCTTCAGTTCAAAAAAGATAAGTGGCATATATTTAAAAGTTTATAAAAACAAGATTAAAAGTTTAAATAATTTACATAAGCCTGTTTTATATTGCATGTTTTTAAAGAATGTACGCTGTGATACAGTATCAGAAGAAAGTTGCATACAACACTTAAATTTTGTAGTTGCTCTTTTATCACAATATAATAAAATATGTGGAAAACAGAGACTGCCACAACTCTTGTTCATGACCACACCTAAATTTCCTATTTAGTAACCTATTCCATTTTTTTTAACAAAGTTTTTAATTCAGCTAAGGGTTTAGTTTGAAAATCTATTTAAATCAGACTGAGTTGACTGTGATTGCTTTGATACTTCCTGTTGGGAATTTTTTTTTTTTTTTTTTTTTTTTTTTAAAGCTAGAAGGTAAGGTGCATTTTAGTCTAATGTTTCTGGAAGTCTTACCACATATGAAGAGCATCTGGTCTGTGGTATACATCGTGCAATCTCAGTGTGACCTTTTTGCACTCTAGTATCATCACAGAGACAGTAATGTATAGTACTGTATAATTTTGATTTGAATATTGGTATGACAGTCTGATAATTTTCATTTGTAAAAGCTAATGCACTACTTGCTGCTTTGGCTGTGAAATACAAACCTGTAGATCGACTCTAACCTTACAAAATCAGAAAATGTTTCTGATTACAGACCAAGACCAGTTTTAACAAAATATACTTGCAATATTCACCAAGCACTAAACCATAAGTCCAGCAGGTCACTAACACATTATGTTAGGTGAAGCATCAAAAATCATCTGAAGCTTACCAGTGAAAATAAGTAATCAAATAACCCCCATAATAAATAAATAAAGACACATAAATAAATAAGCATCTGAAATAAGTGAACACATAAAAAGAAATAATATTGTAAGTAAGCAACTGGTGAGAGTTTATTTATCCATCCGTAAGTATATTTGGCCTCTTCAACTGTATGACAGCTTTCATAAAAAACTTCAATTGGTGTTGATTTGAGGGGATAGGGGAGTTTGGGAGACCATAAAAAATACCCAAACCAAAAATGAAGGCTTACCAGTGTCTTTCAGATTTCACTGAAAATATGAAGATTTTTTCAGGGGAATACTGAATTTGTGTATCATATTACTGTTTCTTGCTAATGAGGAAAGATTTTATTGTATTATCTCCAGTATGGTCCTCTTTTGAGGTCCACCAAAAGCCACCTGTCCTTCTCCATTGACACTTAGTGGGGTTTGATCAAGCCTGTGTTTTAGTTGGGCTGTTGATCCTTACGTCACAGCGCCTGATTATTTATTTATTTGTTTTTATCCTCCCCAGATATAGCTGGTGACTACAAAAGAGCTCAATAAATATACACTGCGCTCTTCTAAATTTCGTTCTGGATGTTTGGCATTCATTCAGTCGGGGAGTTCTTTGAAAAGATAGTCTTCCAAACTAGGGACAATAAACCATGGTTGTTGCTTGTCAGATGCCTGCTTTGATGGTACTCCTGTGTGGTGTTGCCACCATTGCATGGCCGTCACGGAAGTGGTGGTGTGAGGTACCATCTGTGATCTGCACATATTAAATCACCGAGTGAGCACACAGACCAGATACTTCTCATGTAAAATTAATTCCTTTCTTTCTGTGATTGGGGAGGATTTATCCTTGCCTCTTCTATGTTAGTGTGGAGAGGAACCCACACTAGAATATCTGTGGCTCTTGGGATGTTGGCTGTTAATGCCTGTTCTGACAACATAGAGAACTTTTTCTTTGTTCTTCCAAGAAAACCATGTGAAACTGCTATGCAGCCGTTTAAGTAGATGATGAATAGGATTTATCTTTAACGTACAACTCTGCGAGGAAAGGTGCACCGTTCAGACCGGGAGATTATGCAACAAGCAGGAGCCTCCACAGGAATTCAATTCTGTTCCCTCCAGTACTGACTTCTCTAAGCAGGTGAAAAAAATTCTTCCTCCACTCTCCATTGCATATGCATAAACAGCTCCACAGTCATTGGGACAGCCACCCAATTCACACCTTCGAGATGTAGTCCATAAAACATTCCAAACCCCCCCTCCTCTTCGCACTTTCCCATCTTCCCAGTTCCTCTGCTCTATCTGCCAGCCGTGCAGCTCATTTGACATTTACAAGATTTCTTGTCAGTTTCATTTGGTGCCGCCATTCCCGCCAGCAGAGCAGTGAAAGTGAAATTGACTTAATTTAGTCGGTTTCTCTTGCCTGCTCTGGTCCCCATGTTAACTAACCAGCAAAGTGGAACTGACAAGGCTGCTTGTCATTCTCACACGTGGAGCTGGTCAAGGAGAAGGCGGCTGATAGGGAGCAATGCGGTAAATTGGAAGATGAAAACCAGGATTGCGGAGAGGAGAGAGGCGTGAGCGTACAGCAAGAACAGAGAAAACGGGTAAACACGCTTATTTCCCAGATGTCCCGGCTGCTTTTCTCTAATACGGATGAATTCTTGGCCTCTCCCCTGAAGGAAGCAGTATGGTCTAGAATAGCAGTAGTTAGCTGTCCAGACACTAATTTACAAGTTGAAAACATTAGCCTATAAATATAAGTTATCTGCTACTGGGATGGAAAAAACTTCCTGCCCTGAGTTACTGTAGCTTTTGTCTCTGCAGATTTTCTGCTGCTAGAAAGAGGGGGAGAAGGAACACAAGGCCAACATCCACTACAGGCTGATGTCAGTGCTTGGGAAAAAAAGGGCTTATTTGTTCATTGAAGATAAATATATATGTAATAAATGTAGCTCAGCATCTCGTATTTTGTGAGGTTTCATGGAACTAAAAGTTGTACTACACAGGTGCTCTAGCTCAATCAAACCAGTAAATAATGAACAAACAACTGCTTTGTAACAAATCGTTGTAGTTAACAAATACGTTTTTTTAATCCACTTGTTTTGTTAACTCCTTCAAGCTTTTGTCCTATGGTGTAAATCATGCTGGTTTATTATATTATGTACTAATCCATATTTCTTCCAGATGCTTTAAGCATATATAACCTTAGCAGTAACAATATAAATTAGTACTATCATATGTATTTGCATATGCACTGGTAACATTTACACATATATTTTGAATAAGGCTGTGTTAATTAATTTCAAGTTATATTGCCTTCCCTCTCCACAACTCCAAAAGAACAACTTTTTTTTTCATTATCTGAGACCTGTGGGGTTTTTTCATTCTCTGTGTTGTTTTTTTTTTCTTTTTTTCTGAGACATATTTTGTTTGCTTTACCCATTTAGGAATTAAATAGTTTTAATTACTTGGACCTGTATAAGCTTGCGGACCTCTTCAACCTCACTTTGTTGGAGAATGCGGTGGTTGACTTCTTAGTAAAACATCTCTCTGAGCTTTTGAAGAATCATCCTGAAGAAGTTCTGGCACTCCCATACTGTCTTCTTCGAGAGGTTTTTAAAAGTGATAGACTTACTTCACTCAGTGAAGAACAAATCTGGCAGGTAAGGAGATTGGTGAACAAGCAGAATGTGTGATCCTCTGTAAACCATAGCAGTAATCTGTTGTTTTGAAACCCTGGAGCAATCTCGAGGGAGAATAAGCACTTGAGCAAAAACTGTGAATAACAACTGAGGGAAATTTTTAAATGAAATTCAAAAAATGTTGTGTTGTGTTAATGCAATAAGTTTGTTTGAAAGATAAATTTGTCTTAGTGCTCAACTTGCGTGACTCGGATATGGCCAGAGATTTTCTTCCAGATCCAGCTTTGTTGGTGGGAAGAGACGGCTGATGCATGCAACTCAATTATCTTTGCCTCTGGTGAGGCTAGTGCCACAGGTCTGGTGTCAAACCTGCTTCTGCGGTCTCTCCCATTCACCTCAGACAAACTTAGCTGTGTAACTTCAGTTGTCATTTAAATTGTTTAGACCACCACAACTGGCTTTGCCTGAAACAAATTAGAGAATCATCACACAGGTTGCTCTGCTCAGAGGTGAGTGGAGGCTTCAGTGCAAGGTTTGCGGCAAGAAGCTGGAGATGGCGATCATTTCCTTTAAAAAAGTGGATCTAGAAAAGGGCCAGGTTGCTAGCCAGTGAATATTAACAAGATAAACACATTATGCTGTGACCTTTAGTGAGTGTGTGTGTAAACCTAACATGAAAAACCCACGTAGCCTGAGAAGAGAAACACAAAAACTAACCCAAAATCTATTCTTGGAAACATTCCCATCATATGTCTGTAAAAATTGCAGTTCACGATATAATGGAAGGAAAGCTCTGTAATGTTGGTTCCCCAAACACTTTCTGTTTCCTTTTTGCTGTCATGTTTTATAGAGGAAAGTATTTCAGGGTAGAATGTAACTTGCTTGAAAGAAACCTGTGCTTTCTTTTTAGGAAGTGGGTTATATTGGTCTAACTGAGAAGACTGAGAGTCAGAAGACTGATTTGTATTTCTATCCATGTTATTTATTTACTTATCTTTTGGATGATTCTAAGCCAATAACTTCATTTATATGCTATTTTTTTCTCAAAGTGTAAAATGTGTGTTGATCTGTGGGGCACTTCATGTTCTGTGGGTGAATAATGTCACATAGGAACAAAATATTTATTCTTAAAAAATAAAATGTCTAGTTAAGCTCTTCAAACCACAAAGACAGTATGCAGATGTAACTTAACCCTTCAGTCTGGTAACTGGTATATGCGTTTCCAAAACTTTGAGGCTTTAGATTATGGAGTACTTTACAAAGATAATATTTTCTGCAAATACTAATATAAGATTAGCCTCTTTCCTGTCCTAGTCTCTGGAGGATGTCTGTTCGACAGAACCTTGCAGCACACTACCCATGATGGTGGGTTTGGTTAGGTTTTGATTTTTTTAGGCACAATACTCTGGAGTATTCCCTTTATCAGAAAAGGTTTTGATGTACAAGTTCATATATGGGGCATGGCTGATTGGCCAATTGGACTTTATCATAATTTCTCTGCAGGGTCAGTGAAATCTCCTAGCTACGTGCTTGGATATGCTTTTGCTGGAATAGTTGCTACAGAAAGCCATGCAGGTATAACTTAATGGCAGCTCAGTAATGAGCAAGAATATCCAGAGTGGTGTGCCCTCTGTAACCTGCTGAAACAAACTTTGGGAAGTGGGAGTTTTTAAATCTTGTGTTATTGTCCTATCCTGCAGAAGAAACTCAGAAATCATTTTCTTAATTGTGTGCACTCCAGTCAATGAAGACTTCATGGGGCAAATATGACAAAGCTTCTGTTTCTGTTGCAGTGTCATACTGGGGAGAGATACTTACAGGTAATATGCTGCTTTCTGAGTGACAACAAAGTCCACACTGTCCATTTAAGCGTTATCATAATTGCCTCTCTAAAGGTTACTAATGCTGTTCCGAAGAATTTTTTTTAAACTACTTTTCAGCTGCAGGCAAAATGTGCCTGTGTCTTTTTAATTCAGTCTGTACAACCAGGAAAAAAATATATATTTATAAATATTCCAGGTCCCCCAGAATGAATTAAAAGACACACATAAATATTTACCAATTTAGGCCTTCAGAAGGCAATAAGAAACTGTTTTTTTGCTTTATCTTAGTAAATAAGTAATTCCCTCATAGTCAACCCAATAGAAGAAAATCAAATCAGACCAGCTATATTGCCTCAAGTGTAGTTAAGTTCATCATTTTTACTAAGGTTATAGTGGTAATGCAATATACCATGGAAGAATCTAATATTCAGCCCTGGGTGAAGATTGGGTATGCCAGAGGATTAGTGTCAGGGTGCTTTATAGAAGTGAAACTTGATGGACAGGCTAGAGACAGATCTACAGAATCTCATTAAATTGCTGAATTGTTCATTACTGAGCACTCTCACTGTAATAAAGTGCTCATTGACTTTGACAAATCCCCATCCCATGTCTTAAGGAAGAACAGCAAAGCAAGAGGTGTTGGGGAAGCTGGAGGAAATTGGCACAAAGTGGGGCAGATAATAGAAAAGCTGAGGGGGGAATGCTGCTGTTTGATTTGTCTGTCTTACCTGTGACTAGGGTGGCCTCCTGCGCACGCGTGCACGCGTGTTACGGCGGTAGGAATTCAGCGTGGTCCCGAGGCACCTTTACTAGCAGGGCTCCCACGAAGCCCTAAGCACAAATTAAAGCTTCCCTCAGAGAACCTATGAAAAGGGTGCCACTGTCTGCAGAGCACACTTGTTTTCACAAGTTTAAATTCCCAGTATCCACTAAGTGATTCGATCCTGATGCACATAAAGATTAAGGCAGTTATTTTAATGCATCAATATGTGTGCACAGAGTGCTGTTTGAGTGTGATTTAACCTGAAGTGACTGCAGCTCGTATCTGGCATATTTGGGATTTTTGTTAAGACTACCAATTCACAGTTGTCGAGTTTTAGTGAATATGGTGAAATATAAACTTGAAAAAAAACAAGTTTGAGAAAGTTAAATAGTAATATTAATGACAGAATAGTAGGATGTGGATTAATGTAGAGTACTATAGTAATTCGTGTTGATTCTTTCAGAAAGAAAAATGTGACTTCCAAACAGGGTAAAGTGGACAAACTAAGTAGTTCGTTCCTTTTTCTGCCTATTGAAATCTTACAAAACTCTTTGGCTTGGGGTAGGTGTCTTATGTTTAGTGGAGACAATAGGCAAGCAATATAATGATGTATTTCTTAACACAAATAAACAACAAAAAGAAAGCCCACCAGAAAACGTCCATAGGCTGTGAAATTGGAGTAATTTACTACCCTCCATCATTAGGGGTTTTTTAGCTAGACTAAGCCAGTAACAGAGATTATTAGTTGACATAAGATTGGTTTTCATATTGAGTTTTTGCATTTTACTAGCATGTGAGGTAATGAAATACTGTTTTGTATATATGGTATTTCTGATTTGTCAGCTGCATTAAAATGTGAGTAAATGTAAAACAATGACATAGAAGAAAAGAATAAATAAAAAAACGAAGGAAACCAAGGAAGAATCCTGACGAGGTTGGAGGAAAAAAGGCAAATTCTTTGGTATTTTTCCTCTTCATCATGATCTATGCAGCACACTTTTTTTTCCACAGGAAACGGTCATGACGAGGACATAAATGTCTAGTTTATCATGAAGTGAAAAGTGAATCTTTTTATAATTGGCCATTACTAGAAAGGTTCATTGGCTCTACTTTAAGGAAGCAGATGAATTCTTTCCCTTGATAATTGAAAAGGTAACCAACCCTGTAAGACAGAATGTGTTCTCAGAGAAATCTAGCAGTTGAGGGCTTCTTGTTGGAACCTTAGCAAGTAGAAAGCAAGCCAAAGATTTAGGTAAAAAACCTGATGTTAACCTTAGTTGTAATACAGTTATGCCTTACCACGTTCATTATTAAAAACTTCAGTGTCATGAGGCTTAAATGTTCATATTTCAAGGATCATACTAATAGTTACAGGTAGAAATATCTACTGGATCATTCTGTCTGTCAGCAGTACATTGGTCAAATGATACTGTATTAAATGCTGCACTTGATCCAAGGTGAACTCTCGAATCACATTTGGCAAAAAATCTTAACATAAGATCAGTATAGATTAGTTTCTTCCTTTTCTTCTACTAGTTAAGTAGGTTGTTAAAGAATGTATATTTTTTTAAACAGCTAACATTAAAAATAAGATCCATTTTAGTACTTGCAATACTTCTTTTGAAGTTAAGGTTAGGAGTTTTTTCTTGGTTTTTTACTTTGCCATGCAACTCAGCTTTGTGGTAATCAACTGATAAGCAAGCAATCTAGGAAGAACTGGTAGATAAAAGAGCATGAGTAGTTTATTCAGCTAGAAAGCATGTAACTGTGTTGTGTCTTTTCCAGGCCTAGGCTCCCAAGATATTCCAGCCCTGTTAACTTCCTTGTGCACAGTGGAACTTGTGAACTCATGTTCATGAAGTAGATGTTCCGCATAGGAAAGGGTAGCACTAATTATTCTGTTTGTTACTGTGGGTGTGATGTGCAAAATCAGTCTTTGGTCTCTGTATTAGAGAAGTGTCTTTGCTTGAATAAATAGAAAAACAAAAACTAGGAAGACTACAATGTTACAGGTCAATATGAGTAGTTAAGCATCTATTTTATAAAAATAATAAATGTATAAATCCAATTTTCTTATTATAGTCCTGTTCATCCTTTTCTAAGGGAGAGTAAAGTGCCCTGTTTTCAACTGCCTTTTCTTACACTTGAGCTCCATTTTGAATCTCCTGGTAGTATTTGTGGAGGGCCAAAAGTATTCTTCAGCAGAAATCCCAGAGAGTTCAGTACTGTAGGAAATTTTGCGGTGTACACATTATAGCAAGCTGTTGTGGTGGAACAGTTCTCTGCTGAAGATAGGCCCACAGACATCTTCCATACCTCTCCAGTGATGCCCACATTTTCCTATGCAGAGCAGCAGTTTCTAAAGTGGGTTGTCGTGTTCCTGTACAAGCTTGCCATTCCTTCAGTGCAGTACTTCTTTTTCCTTTTTTTTTTCC